TAGAGACCCCAGGGCTGTGTGTGAGAGGAGGGGTGCTCACACTGCTGATCCCCCTAGTTCAACCACAGAGCCGGTTTCTCTCTGCTCCCCTGGGCTGTGTGCAGTGGGACTGCTGAGTGTCACCCAGACGAGTCTTGTCTTGTATGGAGAGAGCTCTGAGTGCCTTTGGAGTGAAAAACAGTATACAAATAAAATTAACTATCATTGTGAATTTATTCATTTGTATCGTGGCATTGTACTGTTGTTGTACTGTATTGTATTACTGTTGTATATATTATATGTTTATGAGCTCTTGGTGTGCAAGAGGGTTAAAGGGTAATTCATTTAATTAAACTCATTCTGGAAAATATTCATCTCCACTGGTGACAGAGAGCTACCTGGTGGCAGCAACATCGTACAGCACGTCTGGAGAAAGTAACAGTACTGCTTGTCTACAAGTTCATATTAGTACGAGTATCTTACCTTAATCACCTTTGACTTTCCAGTTCGGAAGAACGGAATTAATTTTGTGGAAAACTGGCCGATGAAGAAAAAGTATTCAGCTGATTTTTGTTGCTTTTTGTTGCCGTCGGGCGACGTGGGAGGCCGCTACGGCGTTGAAACTGTAAAGAGTACTGCTGTAACTGCAGTGCGGTTAGCAGAAAGAAAACAACAACAACTTTACGAACTGGGAGGTGGCGTTTTAGCACGCAGAACAATTTCTCGAGTGAAGTGTGAATTTTTAATGTCAAATAATTAAATTAAAAGAGAGGGGGGGGAAATACGTCCGTCCGTTTTCAAGCGCCGTCCGGCCGCCTCGACGACTTCGGGGCTGGCGCGCGCCCGCCCGCCCGCCAAATTCAAATTTAACGTCCTTTCGTCTGCCGGTGAAAAAATAAAATGTTAAGTTCAAAAACAGTTTTATTTATCTTCGTCTCTCAATAATTCTCACAGCGCCAATTAGGGATCCGGCCAGTTCACAATGTAATTTTATTAGGTGGACAACTGAGGCTAAAAAGAAAGCCTCCTTTTACCTGAGTTTTGCTTCAAATTTCGTGCTGGTGTGCGGGGGGCAGCCTTCCTTGTCGAAAACTACAATAACAAGCCAATAAAGTAACGAAACCTGTAAGAGAGACGTCCTACTTTTCACCAAAAACCGTTTAAAGCGTGTGGTGCGTGAAATAACACGTCTCGCTTGTCTCAGACAGAACGATCAGAAATAAAAACTGAGAAATCGTTTTTTTGTTTTGTTAAACTTCTTAGTCATAACTACTCCTGCTGTATCCTCTCCAGGTAAAATGCGCATCCTTGGTTAACCGTATATCAGACACCACAGCAATAGCGTCCTGGGCTGTTAAGGCCTGCAGACCCTCACACTGCCTGGCTAAAGCCATTTTGATTTTAAAGTGATCAGATATTTGAGCCCAGAGACCCCTCCGTTAAGAAAAGGTCTTCCTTCGCTTGCGTGATGGCCTTTCCCTCTTTTGAACCCGAGTACCAACTTTCCAGCTCCTCTGATCAACCTCCTGAAACCCCAGGGACACCGAAGAGGAAACGCAGACAGACAGGAAGCAGCCATTAACCCAAAACCTTCAACAGCTTCAACACACCACTAAGAAATTCAGAAGGCTTAATACTATAATGTCAAAACGTGATCAGCTGTCTTTACCCACAAATCCCACCCCCGACACACAGCTTCTCACAATTTTGATCACAGACCCAGAAACACACAATCCTTTTTGATTTATTTTCCACTTTATTAAGTCAGATTTGTTCCTTTTTTAAAAAACAAAACGTGTATGTTGGAGGAGAACAATTGTACACTTTTTATAAACGTTTCAAGAACAGTGCAGCACATGCCTAGAAACTGAACACACCGACGGTGAATTTACAAGCTGGCCTGACCTTCCCTAACAAAACTTTGGGAAAACCTCCGGAGACAACCAGACTGGAAAAGGCCAGGGATGCGCACAATCCAGGCAGACTACGAAACGTCAGAGAGTCTGACATCTGTGGAGACCATTCTCTCTCTGAACACAGACAGGTTCCTCCTGCAGTTGGGTACCTAGCGCTCAGGACATGAGGCCTGCAGTGATTCTGGCTGGGAGCCTCACGTCAAAGCAGAAAAACCATGCCGCAGTTCAGCCGAGAGCAGAGCTGCGTCAGCCCCTGCAGAGTGAGATGTTCCAGCACCGAACAGTCACCCCGGAGCTGGGAAAAAGAGTCGATTTCTGCTGGAGGGGAAAAGTTTACAACATCGCTGACGAAGTTCATTGCTGGCCACACTGGATCAACAGAGCAGGAAGTACAGTAACACTGCATTTGCGTCCGTGTGTGCATCAACATCATAGCACAGAGCACGGGAGAGCCGAAACTCAAAAACACACAGCAAACGCAGTGTACTGACAGGTGCAGCACATTCCTCGAAAGTGAACACACCGACAGTGGCCTGACCTTCCTTAACAAAACTCGGAGACAGACAGTCTGGAAAAGGCCAGGCACACAGGTGCGATTTCCCACATCGTCCCCTATCTCTAAAGATGGGAGTCGGTGAACAGTTTACAGAAGCAGAAGAAAGTCTGAACAATTGGCTCTGCGGAGCTTCTTTCAAACTTGGCATCCATTTTATTTTGTATCTTCAAAATGCAGTACACGCACGCAGAGACACAGTGTGCACACGCTGGTGGGACACATACGATCTTCTCACACGTTTAAAATGATATTAAAACAACAACAAAATGAAACACTTTATGGCGACTTCTTATAAGGGGGCTGAACCTGGAAGGGTAGTTTTCTGGCTGAGAGGTGGGGGTGCATCCCCACCATGTGCCACCGGGGGGCAGTAGAACAGCTCAGGCAGGGCAGGGCATGGTAGGGAGGCTGGAGTCTCAGAACAAGTGCAACATTGTGCAACAAGTACAGTAAAAGTAACTTTAAAGCCTGGACACTCACCATCAATCTGCACACTGACCAGGGATCGAAAACCAGTGGCATACGATAAAAAAAACACTTT